ATGGAAGTACCCGCATGTGAGCCGCGCTTCAACATGGACGGATTCGCCCATCCGTCGGCGCTTTTTGAAATGTCCTCCTTCCATTCATTGATTGGATGAAATTGAAAATTCTTTTTAGCCAATCATCAACACGAATATCTGACTAGTAACCGTCCATGGTAACCGCATTGAGCAAGGACGACATGGGTGGGCCGCGACGATGGATCCTGTAGTCGAAGCAAGCGCGTTTATTGCCCATCGATGGCACAAACCGACAGAGTCGAGGACGTCCACCGCCACAGCGTCGCTGCAAGGCGCCACCCACGTGTTAGATTTCCACAATTCCAAGAGAGACAAGCACATGAATCCCTACGACCCTCGCGCGCTTCGATCGCATCCCAAGCCACCACAACGGTGCACATCATCCCCAAACGACGGTGACACGCTGTTTGCGTACCAGCCACTGTTTTGTGACGAATTCATGGATGCCCAAGGAGTCTTGTTTTCAATGTCCAAGACACCACGCGAGCGCTCACCCGTCGCAGCAGTCCCCAAGGCATCGCGAAAGCGACCGCAGTCCGCCACAGTCAAGCGCGTAACGAGCCCACCCGTCGCCATGAAAAATGTCATAAGTACTGCCCGGTTGCTGGATGAACCGACCGACGACCCCGTTGCGACAATGATCTATCGAAGCCCTGGCTTCAAGCAAAGGTCGTTGCAAGCACTCGAAGCAGAAACATATAGGCTGCTGGACCACACAAGATCAGTTGTCGCATGGGAGTCGGTCCGGGCGCCTTGCGGTCCTGCACTGTCGGTTGTGCGAATGCGGAACGATGGCAATGACCGCGGAATTTCGACCACGGGTCGCCATCGGTAAGTAGCCGCAGATGCTGTACCAAGCGAGAACGATCGCGCACCACTGCCCTTCTCGGCTCTTGTAAACTTTGCATTGACTAAAACACTGAAGCATTGTAGGCCTTCGCTGCAGGAAGTCGACCGAGCATGCCACTGCATCTACAAGTTTGTGTGTCGGCAATACCTACGCCGCAAACGCGATCGGTTCGTGCGGGCGTTGCAAGCGAGCCACCCTGACGTCCGCGAATTCTCGGACGGCGTCATCGTTGCATGCAGAATGTTCTCTTGCACGAAACAAGCAAAACGTTCATCTCATAGAGCCCACATGGCCGTCGAGTCGTCCTTGGAAGCTTGGCCCTCGAACCAAGCTTCAAAGCACTCAAACAAGCCAGCCAAGAAAGGCTGCGCCAGCGGTTGTTCGTCGTCGAAATCCAACCCCCCCGAGACCATGCACGGGAAAGACGACCAGATCGACGCTGGGTCCAGCAATAGAATCCCTCCAAAGCGTCGAAAAGGGACCGAAACGACGTCGGCGCGCTGTACCCTGGCGAGAAGCGACCCACTCAGGAAGCTTCGATGCCATGTCGTCCGAGTCAAGGCTGCTAGGCGTGCAGATGCCACATCGACAAGTCAATCCGTGCGATCCACCACCGTACGCCACAGTAGAAGTGCTAAAAGGGTGTTCGTGGGTAGAGTCTGCACAGAACCTCCGTTCACCCGCAACAAACCCCCCACAAGCTCCAATTTCCCAAAATCCCATTTTTCCCCACTTTCACCCACCTCTAAACCCTCAAGATGGCACCAAAGAAGAGCAAGAAGAAGAGAACGAAGATGAACGTGAATGCGCCTGTTGCTTCGGGCACGTTGCGGGGTGAACAAGTGTCTAGCGCGATCGATGCCACGAAGAATACTGCTCTACTCGAAGATGTGTTGAAGGCGAATGGAGAGGAGCACCTCTACGACACGATCAAGCAACTATCTGTTCACGTGGAAGACAACCCGCCCGTGATATTTGGATGGCAAAACGTGGAGGTCTTTGTTGAAGCTATCCGGGATGCTCAAGAGCAAGCAAATGCACCAGGAGTTGCGCCACTACCACCTGATCCACTTGGTCTTCCTGCGGCGTTGACGTTGCAGAACTTCAAGGAAGCCGTGCTCGATTATGCAAGGATCCAAGAAGCTCCTCCTCGTCTCGACACCACGTGTCTTCCATGCTCGTTGATGCAGAGCCATCATGTGGTATGTATGCTGCGGAGTCTCGACTTCAACCCGTGGATCCAGCGCATCATTGCCGTTGGAGGACCAAATGCACTGCCGATCGCATACGTCTACTTGCCGCGGCCTCGCTCGATTACTCTTGACAGAGCCATGCCGCCACTTCAGAATAGCTTGTGGGGATAGTTCTATCCTTCGAAGACCGTCTTGAACGCGTGCATCAATCAAGCGATAATGACATTTCCAGCGAAAGCTACTGTCTTATTTCCATGGCGTTCAATATTAATGCTGCGAAATACCAATTGAGGAACCCTCACGTCAGGTTCGCAATGTCCGCTAAATTGATAAATCTACTCGAAGAACGGAACCGCAAAGCAGGTGAGCAAGTTGGCAACAAAGCATGTCTTCCAGCCACATTGACGACACCAAAAACAAAATGCCCTGGTGGCATTTCATTGGAAAGCAGTAGCAAGTGGCAACCTGAATGGAATGCTTGGGCGTCGAGGCAATGGCTTGGCCTGACGACCGCGTGCCAGTAAAAAGTCAAGGACAACAGTCTCGCCATGCACGTCGAAATTCTTCAGCAGCACATCAAGTCCCTGTCGCTGCAGCGGTGGCACAGTTGGGGAGCGCAAGAAACGGTCGTGCTTGACGATTGTTCGCTGCTGGCTACGACAAGCCAGCCCGACAAGACGCGTACGATAGCAGCAATAAACGGACGATTCTATCGAGCCGAAAAATCGTTATAACAAATCAAGTCCAACATGAAATGTCGCATATTCTGTTAACGTGTACTAGTACTCGCTTTTTCATCGAATTAATTTAATTTTCTTGAAATTCTTTTTCGAGCTGAAAGTATAAATCTGAAATTAAAATTATGGAACTTACGTTTGGAAAGCACGTTGGAAAATCACTCGACGAAGTTTTCGACATCGACCAGCGTTACATACAATACCTTATGTCCGCAAAGGCTTCCTTTGTCGATCCAAATATCAGACAATACATCCAAGAAGCGTTCAAAGATAAAATCTGCGTACCATTCGGAAAATATAAAGACTTCACGTTCAAGAAAGTCCGATTGACTGATCCAAACTATTATGAATGGCTAATGAGAACCTTTGCCGATTTCAAATGGATTCAATAAACTCAATCATTCTGATCTAAAAATTTTAGTATATAAAGCAACAATTAGATTTTAAGAAATCATGAAATTAATTGAACACATCTACAAGATTGTTCATAAAGAACTTCCAATTGTTTATATTGGCATGACGATGAACACCATTGAAAACCGATTTCAACAACATAAAACTTCCAGCAAAGCAAAACTTAATGGTTCAATATATCCTTACATGAGAGAACATGGAATTAGTGAATTTAAGATTGAATTGGTTAAGTCATATGAAGTAGTTGACAGTCAACACCTTCGTGTCTATGAAACACTATGGATCAATAAGCTCAAATGTATTAATAAACAGGTTAGCTTCAACCCCATCTCAAACAAAAAGCACAACAAGCTATTACTTAAAATCATAAATGAAATAAAACATTGGCTCTCAGATCATTAGAATCTTTGAAAAATAAAATCGCCTCCTCTTGATATAAAATCTTCTATAGTATAATCTAAAAAGATTTTATAATAATGCCAAAGCGATTAGACCCAAACTTCGTCAAGCTATCACGATCCGAAATTAATAAGCGGTACATCAACAAGAATCGAGAGTACATAACGGAGCGTAATAAGCTTTACAATCGATATTATCAAGAATGTAAAGTGCTGCGACGCATCGGTAAGCATTTCGAATTTACTCTTTAAAAACAAAATCTACTTTTTTTGTTCAGATCAATATACATATATTTGCAGACCTCTCAGAATTCTAAATTTTTAGTTCTATTCTGATAAAAAAATCTTATATTGTATATACTCGGATTAGATTTTATTCCAAGACTCCAGCATGGCACTCTCCAGCAACCTCACAAACGCGCTAAAGCATCGCCGTGATCTCTATCAACGCGCCAAGCAACAAGGACTCCCAATTAATTGGCGAATGTCCACAGAAGACATGGAAAGAATTTTCAATCATAACAAGGACAATGCTGCAACTAAGATTGCTTCCATTGTTCGTAGAAACATCGCCAAGTCGCAATTAAATGATCTCAAGGCTCTCAAAGCAGTGAACAACTTCCAACCAATGACGATCTTGTTGGAACAATTCAAGCGCATTCGTCCTAACATCGTTGCACCTGCGGACAAAAGCCTTTTTTTTCAATTTCTTGATGACGACAAATCTGTTCTTCGATCGTATCATCTCGATAGCCATATGGTTAATGTAGAGAATTTGTATATCAATGAAGAGAATCAATACTCTTCTGGCGCAGATGTTGATCTCGATATTTTCCCAACAACAATGGTTACTATTGAATGGATCGATAGCCCCAAACGCTCTAGATCGGCTCGTAAAAATTTCTTTCGAAATTTGACGAAGGCTGACTATAATCTTGAGGAATTTCAAGTATACGCAGAATCTAGTATTGAGGAAGATAAACTTCCGGAAGAGTCGGAAATTCCATGCTTATTTTATGCTCTTGAACAAGCTGGGGTGTCAAAAGTAACAGTCAACAAAATCAAGCAGGTTATGTTCCATTCTGGTGTGACAAGTCATTTGTTTGAGAAGATCGCGAAACAATTCAAAATCAATTTGGTTGTAAAAACATATCGTGAAAAGGAAACACAAAAAGATAGCAACATTGCTTATTATGGCCCTAACGGTAAAAGCAAGAACCCTCCCATGGGTAAAAAGAACATTTATCATCTCGGTGTCACTCCCAAGCATGTTTTCGCGATCAAGCCTACCCAAATTACATTGACTGCACTCAACAATCCAGATATTGTTAATGATACAGGAAGAACCGATTTTATCCTTGATCATGGAAAGCCGAGCTTTAATTCCAAACGCATTAGCTTTCTCGACAGCTATGATGTAATTTCTCATCTTTATCGCAATCGTGAGCAGCTACTAACCCCAATCACTCAAAACAATGTCCCTATGTTGTTGAATAATGATTATCAAAAGGTTGATTCACTCGATGAAGATGATTTTGATGATAAATCATTTTGTGAAATTGGTCAAGTTAAAGACAATATGAAATATGGTCAATCACCCTTTAATCAAGTAAAGAATCGTTTTACAGAGAAATACGAGGAGATTAACAATTTCAACGTCATTTACTTTGATTTTGAGACACTCGTAAAAGACAATGAGCACGTCCCCTATTGTGTCTCATTCAAGATTCTCAAGTATAAGTTCCGCAAGTTACACTCGACTGGTGAAACACAACATTTCTATGGCTTTGACTGCGCACAAAGATTCTTGGATGCTATTCCTGAGAAGAGCCACAATCTCTTGTGGGCTCACAATGCTGGTTTTGATGTACGTTTCCTAATCAAGCATGTCACTAGCTTCTCATCGAAATGCAACATGATTGAATCCGGTACGAAGCTTAAGCAAGCTCATTGCTTTTACAAGGGCTCCGAATTGGTTATCAAGGATACGATGAGTTTCATCAATAGCAAACTAGCTGATCTCCCATCTATGTTCAAGGATGCTAGCAAGGGTCTTCAACTCGAGAAGGAGTCATTTCCACATGATCTAATCAATGAGAGCAACTTTCAATCTCTTTGGTCGTTGGAGTATTTGGATACCTTCGAGGACAAGGATGCTATGATTGCAAATGCCGCCAAGATTGGTGCTATCACATCTGCCGCCGACGACGCCAGCCGTGGGTGCAATGAAGGTTTCCTTGATAGTCCTGCAGAGCAGGCTCTAGGCGTCTGTAAGACGCTTGACGTTCAAAAGTACGCAATACATTATTGCAACCGGGACGTTGACGTTCTCCATGCATGCTTTGAAGCTTTCCGTACTATGTTCATTGATCGTTTCAAGATCGATGTTTATCGTTTCATGTCAATGCCATCCGTCGCATATGCGATTCAACATAACGAAGGCTGTTTCGATAGATGCTTTGCAGAGAATGGTGTTGTTCTCGGATTCATTAGACAAGCCATTGTCGGAGGCCGAGTTATGACAAAAGAGAACAAAAAGTATCACATCAAGCATGAACTCAGTGACTTCGACGCAGTCAGTCTCTATCCAAGTGGACAAAGCATTCTCAAAGGCTATGTGAAAGGCAAAGCTAAGCTATTTAGGAAAGCTATTCCAAGTGACGCTGATTATTACATTGCTCGAGTACGCTTTACTTCAGTTGGAAAGCATCGCGCATTTCCCCTTCTCTCAGTTCAGAAAGATGGTAGTCGTAATTTCACGAACGATATCATCGGTCAAGAAATGGTCATGGGGAAACAAGCTCTTGAAGACATTTTGATGTTCCAGGATGTTGGGTATGAAACCATCGAAGGCGTTTATTGGAATGAAGGATTCAACACACAGATTGTGAAAACCGTTAAGGATCTATTCAATGAGCGACTCCGATTGAAAGCTGAAGGTAATCCTCTCCAAAACGGAATCAAACTTCTATTGAACTCTGCATATGGTAAGTTGATACAGAAACCAATCGTCAAAGAGAAGCTACTCGTTAAGGGTGCTGATAAGATCAAACGTCATACTCAAAACAACATTCACAAATTGATCTCTAGAACTCCTATCTCAGATGATCTTGCATTGTTTGAGCAGCATAAGTACCTCTATGAGCATTTCTCACCCGCTCATCTCGGAGTTCAGATTCTGGATGCTTCCAAGCATATCATGAATGAAGTAATGTGCTTGGCAGAAGATTTGGGATTGGATATTTGGTATCAGGATACAGACAGCATGCATATCGATCGAGATGCTATTTCAAAATTGGCAGACGCTTTTCGTATCAAATATGGACGAGAGTTGATTGGTAATCAAATGGGACAGTTTCATACTGATTTCGATTTGAAGGGATCGAAGGGTGAAGTCTATGCCAAAGAATCGATCTTCCTTGGTAAGAAATCTTACTTGGATGTACTCGTTTGCACAGGTAATGATGTTGAGGGGCATCATATCCGTATGAAGGGTATTCCTGGGAAGCTACTATCTCACGAAACATATGAAACGTACATGAAGCTTTACAATGGCGAAGAGATTGAGTTTGATCTCGCTGAAGCCTGTTCAATTGATATCAACACTAAAACACAAAGAGTA